TAGGTTTTTGTAAGATCTTTCAGAAAAAATAATAATGTGTGTTTCATTTTATAAAATCGAGATTTTTTTAATTTTTGAAACCAATGAGGTAATCAACATTATTGAGTTACACAGAACACTTTGTAGTCCACGTGCCAGTCCGCTTTTTTCCAGCGCGAAGGACGTAGACATGACATCTATTAACGGAAGTTTAGTTAACACGCAAATTTTATGCAAACATTAAGATTTATTATATCGCAAAACGTTTATTTGACATTGAGAGCCTAATTTTATATTTTGTTATAATTCATCTCAGTATTAGAATTATGGACGCAACATTTCTTTTAACTGGACCAACAAAAAACTAAAATAAAATTTGTATATGAACACTGATAAAGCCACTTTACACAAGATTAATTACCGTGGTAGCGAAAGCCTAATCTATTTTTCTAATTAAACTGACCTGCCATTTAATTGTATATACAAAGAGTTGTCCATTTATGTGTTTGCAACTCAAGATATTAGGCGAACCTTACTGCAATCGATAATTCAAGGAATATTTCATCATCAAAACGTTCCTAATTCAGAGCACTGTAGCATCCGCATTATTCATCAGCAAAGGGTGATCTAGCGGTACCGTCCAACATAACGGTGTTGAGACTATCGTGTTTAATTTTCCATATTTAATGATGCACATACGATCTAATTTTCTACGAACACATCAAAGCATCGGATGCGTTTTGTGACGGAGCTCGTATAAACTCACCCCGTAATGGCGTAAAATTGGGTTTCTCCATTGATAAAATCGAAGCGAGTATATTGTGTGGCACAAACACCAGTGCCGACTCTATTGGCGTATTTTGTTAACCAAGGATTTTAGGCGAACCTTAAGTATAACTTAATAAATTCTTTTCAACCACAGAAAATGGTCCCATTAAAAGTTCTGGAGAACTGATATTTATTTGGTGGCATATTTATCCAAAAACAATTGAATAAATAGTGTCTGAAAGGGTCTAAGTACTATTTACAGAAAACAATTTTTTTTCGTTTTTCTCGAAATATGTAAATATCACCTAAGATCTGATTTATCCAGAAGAGCTATTTTTTCTTAGTAGAAAGAATGCATCATTACATGCATGCGGATCAGGACTCTTGTGCATTTTTCAGAAGTCACGGCGTTTATAGGTTTGATCGGAGCTATAGGCCATTCATTCAACAGGCGTTATTAATATCTTTATTTTTTTCTGTTGTATTGACTTAAATTAATTAAATTTATTATTTATTTATAAATTATGACCATTAGCTAATTCTTTGCCTGGTTTATATCATGTTTTTTTTTTTTGGTTAGTTTGTTGTAGTAGTTGTATGTTTAGGAAGCCGACGTGATCAGGAAGGTACGTACGAAACTATTTGCCTTGCCATTAGCTACTAATTTTAATAATTAATTAGTCGAGTGGCTTGTGTTAGTAATACTCAACAACTGATTTAATAAATATTTTATATATGTTTGAAAGTAGAGTTCAGGGGCGTAACAGAATTCCAATGTCATTCTGAGAGGTTTTTAAAAGAAGGTTTGCTAACCTGTCAGTTGTGCTATACAAGAAATTACTACGGGAACTGGAATTAGGATGTTATTAAAATATCTACTATACTATATTAAATTATCTACTGGTTAACTACCAAAAAAATTGAGTTTGACTATTTTTCCCTATATTTACGTTTGTCAATAAAAAATGTTTTGTCCCGCGCATTTTTTTTTACTTCATCTTCGACGTATTTTTGCTACTTTCAAACTTAATTTTTTAACATAAACATATAACATAAACCTCTCAACTAATACTACAATAGCGCAACTACCAGCATTTTCCAGCAGCGAACTGTCTATCAAACGTTTCGATTCAATAGCGATGCGGTGCATCCATAGTTTACACGCAGCGAACTCCCAAATCAATCCCCCAATCGGTGATTAATTTGTTCGCGAAAATATCGAAGATAAATCCAACAGGATGCGAATCTTTGTGCTGACACGAGGCGGAACAATACATTCCAGGAAACATTTGCATCATTGTGCGAACTTTAGCGACGTAATCCATCACCTCATTGAAAAGCTCGAGCTATTGTTACTTGGGCATGCATAATAAATTTAATTCGGGGTTACATTAGAACTCGGGTTCGTTGCAAATTGTCGTTTAATTTGCCGCAATACAACCAAATTTGAGAGGGATTATGACAAATTTGAATGCGTTACATAAATCTGGACGGAAAATGGCGACAACGGAAATTCTCGATTTTGAGAGCAGGATAATCGGCAGTTATACAACATTGGGCACTGTAGTTATAGGCACCATCTTGTATACTATTTCACTGATATGTGGTAATCAAATACAGATGCGAGAAATTTAGGACAAAAAGTTAAGCGTTTCCAACCAATTTTTCGCGAATTATCCTGTTGACTTCTTCAGAATTTTTTCTTTGACCAGAATGGGAATCAGGCATCCGAGACAATATTCATGTCCCTTCTTTAGCTTCGCCACCATCAAACAGTACATAAGCAGGCTCAGAGTAGAACGGAAACCAGTTTCACTTAAGTCCTGAAGAAGTCAACAGGAGGAATCTAGAAGATTTGGAAATAGGAAGCAAAATAATTTTCAAAATAATACTAAAAATGAACTTAAAAAGTTTATATCGAGTGATTTGTTAACAAAAAATATGAATGATATACAGTGAGGACATAAAGTCCGTCGCCCTCCTCTAACTTATGAACCATTTGGTATATGGCCATGAAACTTATGGTGGTATTATATGAGACAATTCTCTATTTTTTTACTGAAAATGACATTTTCGTAAGTCAGACGGCTTGGCATAGTTTCGGTATTTTTTTTATGGAATAGTGGGCAAAGTCTTTTTATCCCTAATTCAAATCTTGATTTTGAAGACATTGGATTATTTCATTGTTAGATGGCTAGCGGTTTGATTTCGTTTTATAGGTAACGTAGTTTCTGGCTGGAAGATAACGGACCTTATGTCCCCACTGTATAATTCCGAACATTGCAGCATAAAAAAAGCTAAGCTAAGCTTCTAAGAGTTCTTTATAGACCGTGGTATCTTTTATTGCATTATACAAATCCAGTGCGGGCGCCACTGAGGCTGATGTATAACATAAGAACTGTTGTTAGAGCTTCTGAAGACTATTCTAATCAAATCAAAATAGGTATTAATCATTATGTATGTACTGTGGCCAAGAAGGTATTATTCAAAAATTAATAATTTTCATCAAAGGATTATATTCAAATAGTATATTTTATTAAGGAACCCATCGTTTGCACGATTATAAAGTTAGTGTCCGGTTATTATAGTAAAACATGCATATCATTTCAGGGGGGATGTTGAAATTCGTAAACCTGCCTCATTATATAATGAGGCAGGTTTAATATCAGTTCCATAATATAATTATGGAACTGATATTAAATAAAATATATTCTTCAGAAACCACAAACATCATGCTCCAGCATAACATGTGGTAACGCAGTATGTGCTAATGCTAGTATATTTCTGGGATTCAAAAATCCAAAAAAAAAACAAAGTGCCAACTAAAGTTGGGATCACAGCCTTATAAAAATGAGTATGAATATTAATATTATACCAAACAAACCCATATGATTAATTTACCAAATGGGGAGTCGTAGATTACAACCATATTTTAGCAATTAAGCTAACGACGGGCAATAAAATTTCAACACTTATTAACGGTGATTCCTGACATACAGAGGAATTTTCTAACCAACAAAGTAAACATAAGCAAGGACCCTGAGAATTGGAAATCTTTATATCTTATAATGTTTCACAAAAAGGTAACAATACCAGAGAATGTAACTTCGGTGAGAAAATCGACAGGCAAATTTTAGTCTTAAAATTAAATTTCTGCATCCTTAAAATCAAACGTAGCACCCGATTAAGCTTATTCTCCCGAAGTGCAGTGGGGGTCACTAAGAAATTCACTACTGTCTGACTTGAACAGCTTGGCTACTGAAGAATAGGAAAAACCGTAAATACAGTGGGATATACAATAACGAACGTATTCACACATGCAAAGAGCTGATGTTGCGTGCGATTAACGGAAGGCGCAATAGAGGTTATGTATACCACTACTGATTTCTCAAGTCAATTTACTTGCAATATTTTTGGAACTTATCTGTCACAATGAAATTAAAGAAAACTCGGCTAGGCAAGTAATGGAACCAAAACCACCTTTTGCTGTTATTTTCAACTTTTTAAATCCCCTAATATCCCAATTTTACAAGAGCACATTTTTTTTATGTAGTTTATTAAAAAACTGACCGAATATTTTTACGAATCTTGGAAGAACAGTCAAAACAGCTGCTTGTTGGAATCTCTCTCAGATCCAAAAACTGCAACCTCTGAGTCGGCGCATAGTAGGTTGCAGACGTTTTTTCCATGCCCTCTCGAGTACTAGTTTGTGTAAATTTTTAGTATGTATTTGTTTAATATATACAATAAATATTTGCTTAGAAGCATACCGAGTAGTACGCCTTTTTATTGCAAGTAACAACATTTTTATTTGTGATCTGCTAACAAAAATTATAAAATGATGTTCATAAACATAGTATAGAAAATAAATGAACTAGTATAGTTCATTTATTTTCACTCATACTCTGTACTACCGCTCTCTGCAAATGTATCGAGGCAAGGAAAGTAAACAATGTCGCAATTGTTAATTACAGACAACACGAGACTCGCCCAGTTTCTTCCTCATTAACTTAAATATTTTTAAATTTTTATACAATAATCTAGGAGACAAATTTCTCCTTTTTAATAAAGAGAAGACATGAGATTTAAATATTGTGCCCAAAGTCTTTGCCTTGTTTACAACTGTTACTTGAACTTGAAATTTTCGTTTAAAAAGTGTTTTCAGTTTTTCTGAGTAACATTGCACTTATTAGAGTTGAGTTTAAAACTGTTGCTAGTAGGAGGATTCGATGAATTGAGTATCAAATACTTACCTATAAATCGGCTTACTATGTCCATCTCTATACCACAGGACCATGTAGACTCGGTCTTCTCTAATATGGGGTTCAATGTCACACGGCAATGTCGCACTCCGCGATAACACGGCGTCCACAGACGAAGTTATTACTGAAAATTTGAAACAAATTCAATTAATTTCCATGTTTAAGTAGAGATTCATTCGGATTCACGTCACGAAATTAATGTCAAACGCAAAGTATATAAAAAAATTATCATAATTTAAGCAAATTAAAATAACCGGTGGAGAGGGTGGTTCGAGGAAGGCAGCCTTTATTATGGAACTGGAAAAGTAAGTTTTTTCGTTTCATTCGCATATTTTGTATAATTTATTTTTAGGAATAAACTGACTTTCCAACTTTGTTAGGAACTTTGCAGAGTTTTCGACTTGGAAGGCCCAAGAAAATGGAGAAGTAAACTATTCTTATCTTACAGGAAGAAAACGCCCACACGGTGAGGAAAAATGTATATGAATGTAGCAGAAGTGTTTACAAAGGCATGTGTAGTAAAGTTCAAGGAACTGTAATTATTATATGGTATAGTTATTTTTTATGATCTGTTTGTTTATCATATAATATTCATGAGACACGTCCTTCTAGAATTATAGTTAATAATTAAACCGAGGGTATAGCACGCCAATGAACTAATAACCAAACTAACAAAAGGACAGTTGAAGATTCCCGAAAAATTCAAAATGACCAATTGGTGAGAGGAAACCTTGTAATGAAAGCAGATTTGGCATTTAGCAGGAAATTTAAAATTCATAGTAATGAAGAAGATGATTGCATTGCATTTGAGGAAAGACTAGAGGTTGTAATGCTGCACGTGTTACGGTAAGGTATGCATTTCATTTTGGATTAGTTGCAGTTTATTTTGCAAAAAATGAATAGCTTCTCTGGCAGTTTGGTGAAATAAGCATTTAACAAGTATGTAGGTCTTTTTGGAAAACTGACAATGGACTCTGAACAACGAAATGCTGAAAAACAATTCTAAAAAAAGGAAAATTGAGAAGCAAACATATTACCCAAATAAGAATTAAATACTGGTAGTAGTATTATTGTTATTTTTGAGATTTTTGTGTTTATAAGGGGTGTTTTTTTTTCGATGTATAGAACTTTAAGTTGCAATAAAACAAGGTTGGATTATTTGATTGACATAAATTTTATTTATAAAGATTATCTTGTGGCATTACATTTTAAATGATTTCTAGCATATGACCGCCACGGCTGGCGCGTATGTAGTCCAATCTGGACGTCCAATTTTCGATGACTTTTTCCAACATTTGTGGCCCGTTTATCTGCAATAACACGTGTAATGTTGTCTTCCAAATGGTTAAGCGTTTGTGGCTTATCCGCATAGACCAATGACTTTACATAGCCCCACAGAAAGTAGTCTAGCGGTGTTCAATCACAAGATTTTGGAGGACAATTCACAGGTGTCAAACGTGTCTTTCAATAAATCGATTGTGGTACGAGCTGTGTGACATGTTGCCCCATCTTGTTGAAACCACATCTCCTGGACATCATGGTTATTCAATTCAGGAATGAAAGAGTTATTAATCATAGCTCTATACCGATCATCATTGACTGTAACGTTCTGGCCATCATCGTTTTTGAAGAAGTACGGACCAATGATTCCACCAGCCCATAAAGCCCTCCAAACAGTCACTTGTGGATTAGCTTCGCTCCAAATGTGGCAGTTTTGTTTGTTGACGAAGCCATTCAACCAGAAGTGCGCTTCATCGCTATACAAAATTCGCTTATGAAAATCGGGAACAACGGCCATCTCCTTTTGGTCCTCGATGGCGGATGGACTCATTCGGGTCTTCCTCAATGCTACGCTCTACAGCAGCAGTAGCTTCTTCTGTACGCACCGTACGACATCTCTGCGGATACGAGTTATCAATAAGAGTAAACGTGGTGCGAAAATGTTCCATGGTTAATCGAAATAACTGCTCTGATTGACGATTTTGTCGACGATAAAATGGACGTAGTGCGCGATACGCATTCCTCACAGAACCATTATTTTCGAAATAAAATTGCACTATTTGAGAAGAAATCACTTGACAGCTGTTAAATCGGTCGCCATCTTGAACAGTAATGCCAACTTAAAGTTCTATACATCGAAAAAAAACACCCGTTACATGTAAGTTTATTAGCCAATAAACTGCATACTTCCGTCATTGTTTACTTATGTTTAATTTATAATATTTTTTATTATGTTTAAAACACAGTTGGCAATAAACACTAAACTGTTAAACATAATATGTATAATATTATTTATTTCTATCGCTGTTCGTCCAAAAAACATGAATAAAAATATTGCAGTGTTTATTTATCAAAAATAATGATCCTGAACGATCAAAATCATAAAAATAATAATAATACACCGCTCCGATACGAACTAGTCTCCGCGTTCTGCGTACGCTAGTTGAGAAGCTGAATCAATACACGGTGGCTTTGATTTTTCGTTAAACGGTTCTTGTAGTTAGATATTGGATGAGCCCAATAAATTTATTGTTTCATGGAACGATTAGATAAACTTTAATTATTCCATCGTTTTATTGCAGCGCAGCGCTTATGACTGCATTCGAAAACGGTATAGTGGTTTGCTTTGTTGCTGCTAAAAATTGGGTGTTTTTCCCAAACTAGGCCCTAAGTTTCGCAAGTCAAAAAATCCTTCTTCGTCTAGCGACTTTTTTCCTTCTATTTTTCTCTGCAAGGTATATTATATTAGCTCGTTCCTGACCCAGGTATTCAACCTTACGACTTTTAACTTTGTTCATTAGTCCTGGGGCTCTATTCATTTTCATGAACACTTCTCAGTTGCCATGACACCATTGTTTGGCTCAAACGCGACGCAATTGCAAATAAAATCGCCCGCGAGCAATTCGTAGTGAAAATCCGTGCAAATTGGAGTTCTGGTGGGAACAATTCTACCACCCAATAATCTTAAAAGTTCCTCAAAGTTCCCTTTCTCCAAAAAAGTGAAACTTTTAATAGGCGCCATTGTCTAGGCTTTTACAGCGTACCATTGTAGTCGGGGGGCGTACAAAAGACGAAAAACGTTCCGCAGCGGCTAATGTTTGTTAAATCGGAAGGATCCAATAAGGAAAAAACCCGGGCACGGCTTGTCACTTCAGGAGGATTGGGTCGGTGCCCCTGCCTCCGTCTATTCACTCGCTGTTGCATAGGGTTGAATTCGGAATTGGAGCAATTGCCAACACAAAGACCCCACGTCGTTTCATCCAATTACTATAATACAACAGATCTGACATCTTATCGCTGCCTCTCGAATAGACCGCAAATAGAAATTTGATTTGGGGAATATCGCATCGAGGATTGGCTCAGTTTGTCGGTTTCGTTCTGGATTGTTTTGAAATGTTATGAATCGAATCGCAATAACGTAATAATATACGTGAGTGCTGTAAACCAAACCAATACAAAGAAAATGATGTTCATTTTATATTTAGAGGTGCGATCGCGCCACTATTCAAGTGAATTATTTCATAACTTCTGATAGTCGATGTATGGTGTCACCCATTTATGATGGTTTTACGACGTATTTTTCTTATTGATCAAGCTAACGTGTTGTGTCTCTCGTAACCCCATGCTGCTTTTTTTATTAATCAATTAAAGGTGGCACAGATATATCATAGTGGTCCCGGTTCTTATGCATATATAGAATTTTAAGTTTAGCATACGATTTTTGAAGTAAAATCGAGATATGATGCGAGATTCTAAATTCCGAAATAATCTATAGGACCAGATTTCTAGCAGAGTCAGACAAATTTAAGCGGAAGATATCAACACAAAAATTAAAATCTGTGTTATTTATTTAACTGAGTTTTATGGGTAACGATGACCAATAATTCTGTCTTGCTAATATTTCATTTCCGTGAGATTTGGGTAGTTAATTAATCAAGTGAAGATCACTGTTTATATTAACAACTCGTCGAAGCGCCAACTAAGGAAAGGAATAATAATTGTTGGTCATCCGCAAACTGATGAAAATTTCAGTTTGAAAAGGTGCAAAATCAGCTGTATAAATAGATTTCTTCACAAAGATAGAGCAGGAAGGGGGGGGGGGTTGCCGCCTATGTTAAGAATAATTTAGTAACGGAATTTCACACTTCATTTCAATATAACAAATTATCTTGAATTTTTATTTTTTAAAATTAACTAGAAGAATAAACACTATGCATTCTGCGTATTTTATCGCCCCCAAAATACAAATTTTAATGCTATAGCAAGCGACTTAATATTTTTTTCTAGCATTTATGCGGCTACAGTTGAAATAATTTCTTTGGGTGATTTCAATATTAATTTATTGACCCACATTAATCCTCTAACCAAACTGTTTGAAAATTACAACTTTATTCAAATAAATAGGGAGCCCACTAGAATGTCCAGATCAACTGATTCTTTATTGGATAATATTTTCTTGACTAATGCATCGATGATTGCTAGTACCGAAGTTATATCAGTGGGTGAACTTTCTGATCACTGTCTAGTTTACTGTTGTTTAAAAATAGAAAAATATCGTCTACAGCCATAGGGACTATGCTAATTTGAATATTAATCTGTTCTTACAAGATCTCTATTTAACTCAGTGAGATGAAATATTTTATGAAAATAATATTGATACTAAGATTGCACTTTCTAACAATTTGCTGCTATCTGTTTTTAACAAGCATGCCTCTTTTAAAAATGTCAGAGTAACTAAACCTCGAGCCCCTTGGCTTACACCCAATGTTAAGCTCTATATGAAACAGAGAAACCGCGCTTTGCAGGATTTTAAAAGCATATTTCGGCAGAATTTTACAAAGTATCTTTGACTGTGATACCAAAGTTCATTTTTATAAAAATAATAGTTATTTGAATGATAATGCTCCATTTTCTTTTCATATGGCAGAAATATTGGATATTCACAAAATTATTCAAGACATACGCACTGATGCCGCAGGCGAGGATAATATAAATATTAAAATGTTAAAACATTGCACACCTATTACCGATAAATATGTCACGCACATAATTAACTGCTGTATTGAGTTAAATTGTTTTCCAGATCAATGGAAAACTTCCGTTGGAAAGCCCTTACCTAAGATA